AATCGCAAACGATAACACACATACATAATATTCAACACATCTGCCACGACCATTAAAAAGGATGCGTTCGTTAAAGGGGAGTGGTATGAATTTACTATAATTTGAAATGGCGCATATGTCCCTCAAGCGGTTAATGCATGAATGACCAACACTTTTGCATATCGCAAGAATAGTGTGGGAAAACTTTTACATGGCCAACTACACGTGTCGGTGACAATATGTAAATTCTGAGGAAATTTTGCGAAATTCTCCTTGGTTTCTGAACCCGAGTTCATATATAAACTCCTCGAGCTAGCGAGGGAACTTCTCAACCCAGCTGATTCAACACCGCACAGGAGAGAGAATCTTCCCCATGAAAATTTCGCAGATTTTCTTACTATTTTGAATGCACAATATATTCCTCGCATGATCAACGCCAACGGCCGCAAGAATCGAAATAGGCGGGCAATTCTCGCAAGTCTGAGGAGTCTTCCCGTTCCTGAGAAAATAAAATGCACCATGCCGGGATCGAACCCGGGATCTCCACCATCCTACTCAGAAAGTTGAAGCTCCGAAGACTTTTCCCTGTAAAGAAAGGGACTATCCACATGCCAACCACATCAGAGATGACCAGTAACATATCAAACCAATTCCACGTATCGCGTACCCACACACGTACACCTTCAGCACGCAGACGCACAACGAGCTCAGTAGCAAAAATGACCAGGAAAATGGAGTTTATTGCCAACCAGAAGGAACTGTCGTCGTTGACGTCAAGATCTGTTTCAAGACCCACCGAGACGGAGTTCAATAACACCATTGAGGAGAAGAACATATTGACGTTGTTGGATTCCCCCGTTCGTGAAGATAGTTGTGCGACGAGTCGCCTCCATAGAGAAACGTTCATCTTAGGTTGTAGTTCGCCAGACTCAGATGACCCCACGGACGGAGCACTATCCGATTCAGGAGCGGGAAGGACGGAAGTTAATCGCTCGGATCGACGAGGTACTGTGGAGCTTCGCGTGGTCATGATACTCACCTGGAAAGATATCTTTGGGTATCCATAGGTTGGAGTATGGAAGATACGGATGAGGTCCTGAAAGGGCACACTTACCCTATTGGATAGACGTGCCATACTCAATCTGATGAGATCGCGATTCCGGTTGGCCGCTACTTCATCGATTGAACTCTTCCGAACCATAAGGGTGGCTAACAACACATCCTATTCAAGGGAGTAGTAGTAAACTAAATACACTACACTAACTATAGTAGTAAACTAAATACACTACACTAACTATAGTAGTAAACTAAATACACTACACAAACTATAGTAGTAAACTAAATACACTACACTAACTATAGTAGTAAACTAAATACACTACACAAACTATAGTAGTAAACTAAATACACTACACTAACTATAGTAGTAAACTAAATACACTACACTAACTATAGTAGTAAACTAAATGCACTACACTAACTATAGTAGTAAACTAAATACACTACACTAACTATAGTAGTAAACTAAATACACTACACTAACTATAGTAGTAAACTAAATACACTACACTAACTATAGTAGTAAACTAAATACACTACACTAACTATAGTAGTAAACTAAATACACTACACTAACTATAGTGGTAAATTAAATACACTACACTAACTATAGTAGTAAACTAAATACACTATACTAACTATAGTAGTAAACTAAATACACTACACTAACTATAGTAGTAAACTAAATACACTACACTAACTATAGTAGTAAACTAAATACACTACACTAACTATAGTAGTAAACTAAATACACTACACTAACTATAGTAGTAAACTAAATACACTACACTAACTATAGTAGTAAATTAAATACACTATACTAACTATAGTAGTAAACTAAATACACTACACTAACTATAGTAGTAAACTAAATACACTACACTAACTATAGTAGTAAACTAAATACACTACACTAACTATAGTAGTAAATTAAATACACTATACTAACTATAGTAGTAAACTAAATACACTACACTAACTATAGTAGTAAACTAATTACACTACACTAACTATAGTAGTAAACTAAATACACTACACTAACTATAGTAGTAAACTAAATACACTACACTAACTATAGTAGTAAACTAAATACACTACACTAACTATAGTAGTAAACTAAATACACTACACTAACTATAGTAGTAAATTAAATACACTACACTAACTATAGTAGTAAACTAAATACACTACACTAACTATAGTAGTAAACTAAATACACTACACTAACTATAGTAGTAAACTAAATACACTACACTAACTATAGTAGTAAACTAAATACACTACACTAACTATAGTAGTAAACTGCACATGGACGGTGTGTTCAATACACCTCTCCTGAGCTGCTTCAAGAGCGCTCCAGGATTGGATTTAACACGTAAACCACGACACTAGAAGCGCTGTTAAAACTCAGAAAACGTGTATTGAGGAGACTACACTTACTAGAGTAGTAATGCCAAAATCGACTTCAATTCCCCATAGTTTCACGATGGAAATTTTACTTTCGTTTCTGCGCAGAATGGCGTTGAGGAAATGCAAGTAATGCAAGATTTTTATCAACCAGGCTTGACCCCATGTTCATTGAAACAATTCTGGAATTCAGAAGCGATTCTAGCATCGTATTATACGGGTAAAAAGCGTCCTTTGAATCGATTCTGAGTTTCGAAATCGGTTTATTGAACGACCCCTGTGATCAACTTGGAGACAATTCAAGGAGTAGGAGCTGATATCGATTCAACCTTAAGACTGCATCATATTGGCAATTTTGGCAGGGCGGATGAATCTATTTCAACTCGAGCATTGATAAGATGATTTTTTTGTTGAAATTCGAAATTTCTGAATGTAAATTTACGAAAAAAGAAATTTTACCAATACTATAAGAGACCGAAAAGCGATAAATTAACGGTGAATAAAAGTACACTCAAGGAAGTGTCCATAGTACTTGTAGTACTATACTATTAGTATAGTACTGCTAATAGTACTGCTAATTGTACTGCTAATAGTACTGCTAATTGTACTGCTAATTGTACTGCTAATAGTACTGCTAATAGTACTGCTGATAATACTGCTAATAGTACTGCTGATAATACTGCTAATAGTATTGCGTTGGGCTATATATAGTACTATAGTGCCCACTGTACTCTCATCTCATTAAGATTTCTCATAATCTGCTTCTTACGAGCTTCAACTTGAAATTGTGTTCCTTGTAATTGACGTCTTCGAGAGTTAGACGATTCATATTGGAGTTTCACCCGTTTTACGTGAAGTAGCGTAGAACTCGGTGAAAAACGCGATATTTGCGGTGATATGCAGTGGTCGTGAAATATGTTTTTCACTAGTGTTTTTTCATATCACTAGGGTGGTGAAATTCCATTGAAATCGTCAAGTGAACCGATCGTATCGGAGATGGCTGTAACACTAGTGATAGTTGAGGGATTCCACTGATGCTCTATATGTGAAATATGAAAACATTCTTAGTGGTAGGGGGAAACTCACAAGACTATCTTAAAGAGTGAGAGCGAGGATCTTCGAGGAGTTTAAACGACGCTAACACTTTCAGGCTTGACCGGCTGAAAATTCTAATCGGTCAATTTTGTGGACAAATGGATTGAAATTGAAAATTAAACAACAGCAACAACAGCAACAACAACAACAACAGCAACAGCAACAACAACAACAACAACAGCAACAACAACAGCAACAACAACAGCAACAACAACAACAACAGCAACAACAGCAACAACAACAACAACAACAACAGCAACAACAACAACAACAACAGCAACAACAGCAACAACAGTAACAACAACAACAGCAACAACAACAACAACAACAACAACAACAACAACAAAAACAACAGCAACAGCAACAACAACAACAGCAACAACAACAACAACAACAACAACAACAGCGACAACAGCAACCCCTGATTATACTTACAAATTGTCAACCAGTTTGCAGTAGTGATATTAAATATGTCATCGACCCTTCTTGAATCTACTGTGTCGGTTGATGAAAATGATGATGATGATTTCCTAGGGGACACTCTACCGCCTTTTGCTAACGAGGAAATCAAAGAGAAATTCAAACTACTCAAGGTGAGTTCTAATTTTTTTGGATAACTATTTTTTGGATAAAATTTTAATCATTTTATTTTTTTTCATTCCGATCGATATTATTAACATTGTAGTTTCACCCTAGTGATGTGAAAAACACCAGTGAAAAATATATTTCACTACTACTTTTTCACAGAGTATTGCGCCACTTCACGTAAAACGGGTCGTGAAACTCCATTGATAAAAAATTTAGTCGATCGGAAATTCCTGAACTAAAGGGTTTCTTTTCACTAATACTTCCAAGTTGAATTTTTGATGATTATGATATTTTTTTCGGTGAAAACACGCGAAGTTGAAAAATGTAAAAAATGAATTTGACTACCAAATTTTTTCAGTTTTATTCGAGAAATTTAGACAAAAAAATTCCTTTTAGTGATGCTCATGGAAATATCAGTCGAATTTGGTTTAGGCTCGAGATCGTAAATGCGAAGAGCTGGAGACAGCTGCGGTTGAAGAAAGGGAGAGGATCAAGAATATGCAGGACCATCTAGTGAATGTGAGCTGCGCCTTGGTGTTATTATAATCATACCGTTTTTACGTGAAGTGGTGTAAAACTCGATGATCGCGATGGTATACAGTGGTCGTGAAATATGTTTTTCATTAGTGTTTTTCATATCACTAGGGTGATGAAGCTCCACCGCTTTTGTGGTATAAGCGCATTTGTGAAGTGGCGTAAAACTTAGTGAAAAACCCGATATTCTGAGGTTTTGTATTATTATCATTTTTTCTCCGATGATAGTACTATATATTAGGACAACTCCAGTGCGGACTTTATTCCTTAGTCAGCGTTGAAGTTAATCTCGAACTTAGGGAGAACTGCATGTGCTGTGGGAAAAAATATAATTTTTGGGGGAATTTTTGTAATTTTTTGTTGGTTTCTGAGCACTTCCACCCTAATTCGCGTGAAAATTTCCGTAATTAGTGAGGAAATTGCTGAGCTCAGCTGAGGAGTGTGAACATATATTCCTTCAAGACTGCAGTACCTAGTGAATGCCTAGTTAACTTCATCATCTTGCGTATGCACAACATATATAGTCGACATTGTATTATCGTCCATATTTTATTATCACTTTTTGTTACCTTTTCCGTTTTTTTCTGTTTTTCTGTTTTTTCTGTTTTTTCTGTTTTTTTTTCTGGTAGAAAAAAAGAAATCATTTGGTTAGCGTCTGTTCCTGATTATTATATTGGGATTTTGATACTTTTTCTGTACTGTAAAATTTGTTAATTTCACGTAGTAGAATAATCGATCACGTGATCGATATTACAATATTTATCTGGCAGGTACAGAAAGAGATTAAAAACTCAGAGGCTCTGCTGGAGTTCAAACGGAAGGAGAAAGAGTCTAAGGAACATGTGAATTTCGTGGCGCGTGACGCTGACTACAAAGCTGATCTCAGTTAATGGCGTTGGACCAACGGCAAATCGGTCGGCTGGAAACAGACATTTTGAGAAATCGTAAAATCGCACAAGATCGCAAACGGATGATAAACGAGGCTAGAAATGCTGTTGAAATGTGAGCTTTCACTGATGGCAATTTCGTGGCGCAGTGACGATGTTATTACAGTGCAAATACGAAAGTAGATGAAATTCGGGCGGAACTAGAGTGGGGACAGGAAGAGCTTGAACAGTGGGTGATGGCGGCCAGACAGAAGGAAGAGGATGAGGTTCAGCTCGAGGAGTATAGGAGATCGGATGATGTTAAAGTGGGGAAATTTTCGGGTGTACAGTGCGTGTCAATTTGATATGCAAATTTGTATTATTTTCCCATGGGATTAATGAGAATCTATCTGAAACTAAATATATATTTTATATACAATATACTTCATATATACTAGAAAATACTAGTAATACTAGTAATACTAATATATACTTTATATATCGCATATACAATGTAACAATGGTTACGAACATGTGTTGTGATGAAAGTACCCGTTTGGGACTGTGATGATAGCGACAACTTTTTCACTATAATTTGTACTACAAAATAACACACATTTGCATATCAAATTCACACACACTGTATATTTTTCTGCCATCGATAATACAATTGTTAACCGCGAAGTGAATTGTGGAAAATGTTTTTCATTATTGTTTTTCATATCACTAGGGTGAAACTACAATGAGAAATTAGTCTGTTGATAAGGTGGGAAATATGCAGATGTGTTGGTGACAATGTTAAAATTTTGAGGAAATTTTGGGTAATTCTCATTGAATTCTGTACGAATTCGTATAGTTAGTGAAGAAAACTATTAAACTCAGATTGAAGAAAACGAACATATATTTCAATATCGGAGTTCCACCACCGTAGTGATATGAAAAACACTAGTGAAAAATATATTTCACGACTACTGCATAGCGTTAATATTGCGTTTTTTCACAGAGTATTACGCCACTTCACGTAAAACGGGTTGTGAAACTCCAGTGTTAGATTTTAATAAATGTTTGAGTACAGATTTGATCATATTGGTGATAAAAATATATATTTTAGGTTAAAACTCTACAAAAGCAGGTCGAAGAAAGTCTGAGAAAAGTTTTCAATCTCAAAGAGGAGCTCAGCGGACGGGTGAGTTTGGTAGACGCTTTTCATCAGTGGTTTCGAGAAACTACTTGCTATATGAATACAGTTATCATGTCGAAAGCTTATATGAATATTCGTCGTCTCAGCCGAGAAATGGAATTCTAATTAATTTGCATAAAAAAAGTCTTATGCGCAGTAGTAAATTATCACTTGTAAGTATCCTTTTCTACTCTAGAAAAGGACTCCTTTTACTAAAAAGGAAAAGGACTATTACTCCTTTTCTACTGTATTCTCATTGTTCTCGTAGTTTTTTTCGGGAAATTTTCGAGATTTTTCAGATTTTTAGGATGATAATATGGTGGCAAAAATTTTTTCGTCGTGTTGGTGTAAAGAGTATTTGGTATCAGGCAACAGAAGCGGAGGCGATGCAACTCGAAATGAATAAGTTGGGAGAGCAGCTGGCGCAAGCTACTGCGGGTAGAGCGGCGTAAGAGGTCCCGGGTTCGATCCCGGCATGTTGCATTTTTCCCGTCATTTTAGTGATCTTGCTGCGTGGGAAGCCGGAGTTGATACCAATAAACGTAAAGATGCGCAACTGGTTGCCCTGGGAGAACAGTAGGATGGGGAGAAAAAGAAATATTTTTCTCGCGAGATATTTTTTCAGGAATTGTCAAAAATATTTTTCACTAGTGTTTTCTCATATCACGGGTGAAACTCCAATAATACATTTATAAATTATATGATATTGTTTACCGTCGCATGTGTGAGAAATGCGAATGGTGATTCTTTGGGTGTATTTTCTTTTTCCGTAAAAAAATTTTTTACGTTGGTTGAATTTCGTGGCGCAGTGACGGTTTTCGCTGGTGATAGGCACGCAAAGGAGAGTAAACGTCATAAGGAAAAAGAATTGAAGCTGGCTGAGTTGCATAAAATTGATGAAAATTACGGCAAAATGATAAAGGAGGTGGTGGACACTAAGAAGATGGTGTTAGTGAACTACAGTCATCATGTTTTTCAGAAAGAGTCTTCGGTGGCCATCACCGATAGAGAATTGGGTATACTGCGATTGGAAAATCTCAAAGTTCGACAGGAACTCGATCTACTCCGCGATGAAGTAAATGAACTACATATATTCTTTTTCCCAAATCGCAAATTTTAGGATTTTTTCCGTTTTGTTGAAAGAAAAATTTTATAATTTGTTGAATTGGCAGCAGAGTAGATACGGTATAGGTTGCATGAGGGAAAATTGAGAAAAAAATTTGTTTTATTGGATATTCTAGAAAAGGATGGTGGAAAATTTTGGGTTGTTTATCGGTGATTTCGTCGTGTGGGAAGCTTTTGACAGTTGAGAGTTGAATAAACTTTCTGGATTTTTTGCGTAAAATTTCTCATGAGAATTTTTTAGCTACTTACGAGAAAGTTGGTTTTTCACATAAATTTAATTGTTACGGTTTTACTCAGTAGGGGAATTTCGCATTAGATGTGTTCCGGGTTTTTTTACAAAAAAATTTGTACTTTTTTATTAAAGATTAATTTTTTCTCCAAGTCATTGATTTAGTGACAGCTCTGTATGACGTTCAGGTCGAAATTGTGCGTACAGAAGTGGGCGCGGCCACCGACGAGCGGAATCAGAAGCAAACTGAAATCGAGCAGTGGACTGAACGGATAGAAGAAAAAAAGAAAAAAGTTGGTTTTTTTTGCGTTTTTTCCGGAAATTTTTCCCTCGATTTTGTGGCTACACAAAACAGATGATCGTTGATGTTGGTGTTTAGATTGCTGGTATGAAAAAAAGGCTGGAGTTGGAAAAGAAGAGGAAAGTGGAGGTTGAAAATTCGAAGATGGATAAAGTGAGTTGTGGTTAGTAGTGGTTCGTGAATAATGTATTTTATTAGAATTGGTATCGTGGAAAAATATGCACATGTATAGCTACATGCGTCGGTGACAATATGAAAATTTTGGGGAAATTTTGGGAAATTATTGTTGTTTTTTTGTACTTCTACCGAAGTATGTATGTAAACTCCTATTATTAGTGAGGAATCTCCTGAGTTCAGCTGAGGAAAGCGAATATATATTCCTCCGAAACTGTGAGATTGGCATTGAGTTTTATCTAGTGATGTGAAAAACACTAGTGAAAAACATATTTTACGACTACTGCATATCACCGCGAATATCGCCACTTCACGTAAAACGGGTAGTTGTGAAACTCCATCATGATTGGTAGTTTTGTCACTGCGCCACGAAATTATCTCAGGAGCAAATGGCGATCGAAGCTGAACGGATGCACAGCCAAGCGGTTGAAAGGGCCGGGGAATTGTCGTTGCAATTGAAGTTGGCAAAAGAGGAGTTGTTGAAAGCTCAACAGGAACTTTATAAAGGTGAGAAATGACGGCGGTGGGGATCGAACCGGGGACCTTTGGATTGCTGGTAGAGCGAGAGAACGAGCGGACCAAAATGGGAGAAATTTCGGGACTGTTGAGCGCGATAAAGAATGTGAAGGCCAGGATTGCCAAGGTTGATGCAGAGCGTCAGCGACAACAGGTCTGTCGGGAAGCTGTTTTGTATTTTTCCGAGTGATTTTTATAAGTATAATTTTTTTCCTAGAGTTGTTGTATGTGGTGTTAGTATGAAATTATTAAATTTCTTTTACGTTTGTAAAAATCACGTAAAATTATTCGATTTTTTTCGCGATTTGCGAGTTGTGGTACTCACTGATGGTTTTCAAAATAGAAAATATATTTTAATCACATTATTGTTACCGTAAATTGGTTTAACAAGCGAAGTGATCCCCTTTTCAGGAGCTCCTTTATAATGCAGATTTCGAGTGTCAACTGATGGAAAGGAAAGTGGCCCGAATCAATGGGGAAAGGAGTGTTGAGGAGAAGGAGGAATTAAATAGGAAAATCAAAGAAAGTGAAGTGCAGTTGGAGGAACAACAGGTGATAGGTTTTGAAAGACAAGTGCATGAATTTGAAGTTTGCCGAATGTGTATGAGCTTGGTAGAGATGGAGCGCTTTATATAGTATTTTATGAAGAATTTAACGTATGCAATATTGGAGTTTCACCACCCTAGTGATGTGAAAAACACATTTCACGACTACTGCATAGTGTGAATATCGCGTTTTTCACAGAGTTTTACGACGCCACTTCACGTTAAACGGGTCGTGAAACTCCATTGTTGATATTTGAGTATTCATTTGTAAAATATTAATATAATGATGGTTATTCTGAAATGGGGTATATTTCACATATAGGAATATAAGTAAAAGCTCTATTTTAGAATTCTCGTAGAATTTTCATCGTATTTTTTGAGGTAGTTTTTACGAGATTGTGATGGAGTCGTTGTAGAGTTTATCTCCTATTCAATTCAACGTGGTTGCATAAAGCTAGATGGGAAATATCGTCATTTGTTGTGTTGTGCGATGGGGAGTTCTGGTTTTTGGAAGGCTTCAATACTTCTGAGCTCTCGCGTGGTAGTTCACAGTTGAAGAGTTGGAGCCAAAATAGTCTCCGTTGTTATAACGCGCGTAGTGGGGAAGGCGATCGGAATTGCATTGGTGTCGTGTTGTTGATAATGGAGTTTTACGCGTTTTACGTGAAGTGGCGTAATACTCTGTGAAAAACCCGATATTCGCGCTAGTGTTTTTCGTATCACTAGGGAGAAATTATAATGTATAATCAACAGCACCGTGTGGATCACGTTCACTTTCTGTTAATCATATATCCCTGCCGATGGAGCAAGTTTTTTTTCTCTCCAGAATTTACTACAAGTGCTGAATAAGCAAATAAAGCAACAAGACTTGGAGGTGAAAAATGCGCGAAAACGACTGAGCGAAGCGAAAGCGGTCGAGAGGGAAAACGCAGCGAGAATTGAAAAATTGGAAGAGGAAATTGAAATGCGTTCTCGAGAAGGAGCGGCGAGGAAAAGTAGGTAAATCTTGCAATCTTGCATTTCCTCAACGCTGATTTTGGGTAGGTGAGCGCGATGAAGCGGCGGCAAAACGGGAGGGGTTGAAATTGGAAGTTGAAAAATTGAAAGCGCCTTTGTTGGAATTAGTGGAAAAAGTGGTGACTGCGGAAAATACGAAGATGAAAATGGAGATGGAATCCCGGGAGAAGGAACAGGAGGTGAGGTTACTGGGGATTGAACCGGGGTCGTTGGATGGAGAGTCATTGGTGTTGTCCAGTTACACATAATTCACGAGGGATTGCGGACTGAACTGAGGCTGCTGAATGAGCAGAGGCAAGCGTTGCAAATGCAACTGACGGAACGCAAGCAGAGAATTTATAACGTTAAAGCGAAGTGGGTCGGGATTGAGCTGCATCGAGGAGGTGATGTCATTCGTGTATTAAGTGAGAGTTGGAAAGCACCAAAATGGACGGGGAGAATGTGAATTTCGAGTGGAGAAATTTTGGAGAAAATGTCGGAGTTTCACCCGTTTTATGTGGAGTGGTGTGATATTGTGTGAAATTCGCTATGTGAATTTGGGGAATATGTCACTGCTGGTGATTTTCATAACACGGGTGACACTTCATTATACCATAATAATGAGAATATAGTTGATATTGGCATGAAAAAATTAATCTCGGGAAAATATCGAAGTTGAAGTTAAATATTGAAGTTAAAATTGGTGATATTTTCGAGGGTGAGGATATGTGAGCTGTAGATACGAAGCGATGGTGGATCGTCGGAAAAATATGATGACAGACGGCGATGGAGGAGATGTGAAGTAAGTTTGGGAAGTTGATTGAGTTGTTATTATGTTCAGTTCTGAGATGTTATTTTGATTGTATTGGAGGTTTCTTCTGGAATATTTGGACAACCGCACGTCTCGATCTTCGTTCACCTATAAACGTTCAGGGCGTTTTTGCATATTGGGTGAAATATTCCGCCCATCGCAGAGATACCGTTTTCAAGTGCATGACAGTGTTGAGAAAACTATGCGAAAACACCGCTGGACACGACAAGTGGAATCATAGTGAAGGAAAGGGAGTTTGAGGTCAATCGCTGTCAATACGAATGAGCTCGTATGGTTATGATGGTTTTTGTGTGAGCTCACTGGAATTTTCGAGAGGCGTTCGTGTTTTCGGGGGTCCGGAATAGTTTATGAGTGAAAACGGGTGTCTTTTTATTGAGTAAATTGAATCAATTTTGTGCGAAAAAAAATTCCAGCAAATTTCTGGCGTGGGAGCAGTTCATCTCAGGTCGCAAGCATATTTCGTGTTAAAAGCAGCGCAAGAAAAAGATCAGCTTCAACGTGAGGGGGATGAAATGGATAGGAAAATTAAAGTCGCTGAGGAGGAGCTGCGCGGCTTGGAGAACTCATTGGGATATCTGATTAACAGCAATCGAAAGTAAGGAGTGTTTGGTTGTAATGGTTGATGAAGATTTTGGGCGCGCGCTTTTTACAACAGATATAAAGCGGGGCTGAAAAGCTCTGGAGAGCGCGAGAAGCAGAAAGATGAGAAAGGTGTCTCATTGGGAGCTCGCGGGTGAGCGTGATTGTTTTTATGTGTAGTGATGAGTGAGAGCAGTGCATTGGAACGTCAACTGCGGCATGCTAGCGAGGTGAGGGAAGTGTGGTATGCAGGAACAAGAGAATATGATTTGATCCGTGATATATGCAAACAATGGAGTTTCACCCTAGTGATATTAGAAACACTAGTGAGAAACATATCACCGCGAATATCGCGTTTCTCACCGAGTTTCACGCCACTTCGCGTAAAACGGGTGAAAGTCCAATATAAGGGTCACTACTAGATAGTGATACAAGAGCTCAGCTCCATTGCAGCTCTAGGTGGAAAGTTATGGTGGTGACACGAAACGAACTTGAGATCGCGCGTATTCTAGACGCCTTCTGATACTGTTCGAAAGAGGCTTTTCCGTGGGGTTAGTAGCGAATGACAGGTGTGATTTCTGAGAAGCCGAACTTTGTGCTTATTTGATGACATTTATATATTTCCTTCCATACAACATATTTCATATTAATACATTTAACAAGTCTATATAAATTATATCATATTTCCTAATTTTCTGGTGAGTTCAGAACTCAACTATACCATAGATAGAAACTAGAGCAGGGCTGTCTTGTGTGGAATTATATTCGCTTCAGTTTTTCGCGATCCGAAGCAGTTTCAGAAGTTGAGGGGTTCAGGTGTTGCATAGAAAGAAGAAACGCATCGCTGAATTAACAGCCATCGTGGATTCTGATGAAGCTCGGAAGTCCCAAATGGTCGAAGATTCGCGCCACTTGAGGGCTAAGGTCGATCGCCTGGTCGACTTGAAGGTATTCCTCTCGTCGTTCCTCTTGGTGTGGGGGGGTCGTTGATTGGTGAAGGAATATATGTTTGGTTTCCGCGGCTAAGGTCAGGAGTTTGCCGAACTAGAGTATAAGAATTCACGTACGACTTTGGATAGAAATCAAAATTTCCTGTTTTCGTCATTACATGCAGTTGATCATGTTGATATTATTTCACATTATGGTTTAGAATCGCCTTTCACGTGAGATCGATGAGAGTTCGGCTAAAGCCACGAGAGCATCTAGAAGTCTTGAAGCCATGCAAGATCGGGTTGCGGCTGCTGTGAGGAGCGGCAACTTAAACGAGGAGGTGAGTCTAGTTGTTGTTATTGTAATTATCGACCATCAAATGTCGAATTTTGCTGAGTTCGAAATGATGCTGATGCATCCAATGATCGCCCTAGACGATTTGAATATTTTCTCTGTTATTTTGATCGTTGGGAGGTTTGTCATGGAAGTACCGCAGTGATAGAATCGAGCGGTTTCTGTAAATGATGTTGGCAATTTATCGTTTAGACGGGAGTAGCTTCTGCTATGGCTCGGCTCGGGAGTGTTGGAGAACAACATGAGCATCTTGTTGCGACCATCAAGTCGCTATGTCGGACAATCGTGGAGCACCAACCTAACACTGGTGAGATTCATGATAAGTAGAATGTTTCGAGAGTATTCCTGTGCAGATTCAGTTGTTGAATTCCTGGCGGACCGACTTGGATCAGTAGGTGTATCCCTTGACGTTGCATAGTTGTTGACATGGTGTTGTTGAAATATTGTCGAGATGTTGTGTTGAAGCAGTGGGCGGAATTGTTCGTACACGAAAATACGAGCTATACAAAATAAAGAGTGACGAATCGAATCTACGAAACTAATAGGACGAAGCACGACACGTGGAGCCAAGACGAAATGATTGTTATTATTATTTGTCTAGCTTGGTCGCGATACGGCATTGGTGTTTTTTGCGGCGAAAAACTTGTAGTCGGGAAATCTTAATGACATATGAAAACAAAAACATAAGTTTTGGGAACTCCCTGAAAATAAAATGGAAAAACTCTCACACTCGAAATGCGAGCGCGAATGGCCGCGGCGGGTTCGCTCGAAGAGACGTTTCCAGAGGGGATTGAATCGTCGAGTACGAAATTGGAGGGATAGTGTTGTATTAGTCATTCTAGCTGAAGTATGGTTAACGTACTATTCGAATGTTCCGCATGTTGGTAACAGGCCTCAAATTGTGTTTGTTATATGGCGGTCAGCCAAAAGGATGCAACCATGAACTATGAAGAGCTTTTACGGAGTAGAGTGGAGGTGAGTGAATTGGTTAATGAATAGAGTCGTATAGACTGCGGAGTGTCGTGTTTAATGCAGTGTTCGGCCAGGAGTGGTATGAGAATGCTCTCCATCTGCTGAGCGAATATATGTCACACTTCCTTTCCTTCGTGGATCATAACCGAATTATAGAACGAATTATCTTTGACGTTGTATACAAACATTGATAGAAATTGATGCTGCCCTAGTGTAGACTTCGTACTCTTCTAGTGTCTTCAGCTCGGTTTGGACATCCCTGAAGAGCTTCTTATAAGTATTACTAAGATATGCACCTCAAAGCATCAATACAAACAAGTGGGACTACTACTACTGCTTTTACGTGAATGTCTAGTCGTTGTTTCAGTGTTTATGGCTACATCACAAGCTGTTGGAGGCCGAGTTGGGTGTACCACCAAGTTTAAATCCTACGATAAATAGTTGTCTGTTGTTCTGTGCGGGTGACGCGATTATACGGAAGTGATATGACTTCACATGATTGGTTTCAGTGGAAGCAAAGGAGCTGTCGAGGTGCGAGCTCTATTTCGAGAGAATCAAAACGGCATCAATCGACGGTCCGAATGGAAAAGTAGGAAAAGTAGATTTTCAACTACTATATGTTCGCAGTGTGGGAAAATTAGCACATGCATGTGTTGGTAGGAATATGAAATTTCGGAGGAAATTTTAGAAATTTGTTATTAGTTTCTGTACCCTTGTGCCCTAGGTCGAACTCTGAAAAATAACGCTCCCAGGGTTTGATAGCAATAGGGATAATGCTGCTAATGTGATGATCACATTTACATGGGAAACTGATTGAAGAATGTATTCCTAGCCATACGTGGGAAATTCAAACATCATAGGTTTATGGATGATTT